AAAGAGAGACCAGAGAGAGAGACCAGAGAGAAAGACCAGAGAGAAAGACCAGAGATTCTTTTAGTGTCCAAATAAGTGCTTTATAAGTATTATGTGTTATTATTCTTCTTATCTTTTGCATACTGGTGATAAAGAGCCCTGTGAGGACACTCTCTGGTCCCTCTCTTTCGGGTCCCTCTGGTCTTTCTGGTTTGCCGCTGGTCTCCCTCTCGTCTCTCTGTTCTCTTTTTGGTATAAAAATGGTCTTTTTCTCCATTTTCGCTGGTCTTTCTCGCTGGTCTATCTTCATGGTCTCTCTCCGGTCTCTCTCTGGTCTGTCTGGTCTCCCTCTGTTCTCTCTCTGGTCTCTCTTTAGTCTCTCTTTCTGGTCTCTCTCTAGACTTTGTCTGGTCACCCCTGGAGTGCCACACTGAGAACCCCACAGGACAGACCACTGCACATTGCACAAAGTCTGAGAATACATGATGCTAACAATGATGAAGTGAGTGGATAGCACTCTCGCCTCTCAGCAAGAAGGTCCTGGGTTCAAATCCAGGTCGGACCAGGGCCTTTCTGAGTGGAGTTTGCATGTTCTCCCCGTGTCTGTGTAGGTTTCCTCCGGGTGCTCCGGTTTCCCCTACCACTAAAAACATGTACAATAGGTCTGGCATGCTCCTCCTGTACTGGCCCCGCTCCCGTCTCTGTGTGGAGTGAGAGGACAAATACCCACAATTGTATATAAATAATTGGTATATAAATAAAGGTTACTTACTACTACTACTTTAGCCGTGGCGTTAGCGAAGCATACGGTGAAAGATTAACTCAAGGTCTTCCTCCCACTGCTTTTAGCTTCAGCTGAGAACCTTTTGAAACATGTGCAACAATTACGTTCCTTTAGATTCCATTCAAAATTCTCAGCGCCTCAAGTGTCTGCAGCTTTGAACCAGCGGAATGCGATAAATGTTTGTTGGCCGAGGAATCTGCCGCTCGCTGTGGTGAATTCTTTGCGGTAATTGATTCTTGAGAGAAAGTTTAAAGCAGCTTTTTTCCCTTTGCATAGTTGTAGACAATGGTTGGAAGAGGACATTTCTTTCTCCTTTGAAGCTAACGGACGGACAGCGGCGACATTGATTCAATATGAATTCCTGGGACTTGTGTGAAAGGACACGGCGATGGTTTTACAGACGGGAAGTGAGAGATGGACGATGCTGTTGACTGTAGGTGAGAGGGTATTGTGATAGGAGAAGTGCTTTTAAACACGAGAGCTGTTTTTTCAAAATGGTCGTGGTTTGAAGGTCTCGGGCCGATAGAGATCCACCTGCGGACCTTTGCTTATTTCATCAACTTAAGGTATGAATGTGTTCTTTGCATTTTTAACCCAACTTGATGAAACTAGGGCCAGGATGTGGTTGCTCTGGGTCGGGATCAGAACAAGAGGATTGTACCCATTCTACATGGTTTTAATGGTAAAGGAAACTGGAGAACAAACTCAGAAAGGGAGAAAGGCCCTGTTCCAACCGGGTTTCAAGCTCTATCGTCTTTCACTGGTCTTTCTGGTCCCTCTCTCTTTGGTCTCTCTCAGGTTTCTGTGGAGTATTTCTACAGTCTCTCTCTTGGTCTCACTGGTCTCTCCCTGTTCTCTCAATCTGGTCTTTCTGCTCTCTCTCTGGTCTCTCCCTTGTTTCTCTCTCTGGTGTATCCCTGGTCTCTCTTTCTGGTCTCTCTGGTCTCTTTCTCTGTTTTTTGCTCTCTTTCTGATCCCTTTGATTTCTCTCTGGCTTCTTTCTCTGGTCTTTCTCTAGTCTCTCTCTCTCTCTCTATGATCTCTCTTGTCTCTCTTCAGCCTCCCTCTGGTCTCCCTTTGGTTTCCCTCTGATCTTTCTAGTCTTTCTCTGGAAGTTCGGCCGCTCTTTCAGTTTGAGCCCACATCTCGCTGATTGACTTCTGAATACCGACCACCGTCCAAAAAACCAGACCGACTCAAAAGCAGCTTCCACAATCCACGTCACACAAACACTCGGTACGTTGCAAAGAACAAAACCCTCTCCTCCTCCTCCTTCTACACACTGACACTACACGACAGCCCTGTATCCGGTGTCGACACTGGATTTGCTGAGACGCCAAATCCAGCTAAACTGCCATGTACAGAAATAATACCGCTTTGTGCGCGCTGACATTAGCCGCGCGTCCCGGATTTCCATAATAATTGTGAAAACGTCTAAATTGAAGTGCGCGTCAGGAGCTAATCGCGAGCCCTGAGATGTACAGAGAACAGTTTTAATAGCGTTTCCTCAGCACATATTAAGAGCTTCAGTCTTTCTCGCTGATAAAAAAAAACGCCAGCCAGCCCCCACCAGGCCGCGAGATACTGCCAGGCCTTATCTGCCTCTCGCCGCGCTCAGAAATTCTCGATCTATCTCCAGAAATATGATCTATGGCATACAAATGAGCGCTGTAATTTATGCATAAGTCTTGCTGCAGCCGTCCCGTGTTTAATTGTCTTTGATTAACTGTGGCAGCAGCGGCGGCGGCGGCGGCAGCGGTGGTGGCGGTAGAAGGGGTTTTGTGTCTCAGGCCTGCCCAGGGAAATCATGTAACAGCAGCAGCAACAATGAGGTGAGGAGAGAGGAAAGGAGAGAGGAAAGGAGAGAGGACGATTGACAGTTGATTGGGTGTGTGTAATAATGTGCAGGAAGAAATGCAAAAGCAACACGAGTGATTGATATGAGATCGGTTTGGACACTGGTGGAGCTACTAAAACACAATAGAATCCTGGAGTGGCTGTTTTTCTTCAGCAGGGACATGGAAGATTGTAAGATGAAGGAATCCTGTGTTTTTCCAGTCCAGAGTGGGGGGAAAATCCTGTTTACTTTACTTAGAGTTATAGGTTATAGAACAGTAGAAATGAGGAAAAAACATTGGTATTGGCTCCAAATTCACGTCAAGGAAGCGGACACGGTCTCTCGCTCTAGTCTCAGTCCTGGATCTACTGCCTCAGTCCTGGACCTACAGCCTCAGACCTAAATCTACAGCCTCAGACCTAGATCTACCAGAGCCATTGAAGCACAGTGGAACAAAAAACAGCTGGTCTAAAACTCGTGAACACGGAGCACTACTCGCATCCCCCCTCCGGTCCTCCCCCCAGCCTCCAGCTCTCCCCCTCCTCACCCTCACCCTCTCCTCGTCTGTATTCTCGGCACTCTCTGCTGTCACTCCATCAGCTCACGCCCAATAGAACAGGAGAGGAGCTCGGGAGGCGCCATCGATCGCTGCGATTGTGTTGTCTATCGCTGAGTGTCCATTATCTGTGAATGTACAGCCCCCTCCCTCTACTGAGAGAGAGAGCAAGAGAGAGAGACGGGTAGATGGAGAGAGAGAGAGGGAGAGAGAAATATTAACACAGCTCTGCAGACTCTTTCTGCTCGCAGGGAAAGGCTTTTGTTCTGCTGCAGGATTTGGAGGAGAATTTGGTTTCAATCTAGTCTCATTCCAGATGCATGTCTCTCTCTGGCCTTTTTCACTGGTCCCTCGCTGGTCTCTCTTTCTCTGGTCTCTCACTAGACTCTCTCTCTGGTCTCTCTTTCTCTGGTCTCTCTCTGGACTCTCTTTCTCTGGTCTCTCTCTGGTCTCTTTCTCGGATCTCTTTCTGGACTTAGAATTGCATTTTGGTCCATCCAGGCTAATATCAGGAACTTCTGAGACAAGAAAGACAGAGACTAAAGAGACACTGGAGAGAGAGACCAAAGAGAGACCAGAAAGAGAGGCCTAAGAGAGAGTGACCAGAGACACCAGGGACATAGAGCAGAGAGAGATGAGGAATAGTGACCAGAGAGAGAGAGCTAGAGAGACCATTTGCTCCCGAAGAGATAGGGGGAGGAGCTCAGTCACACAGGAGGAGCTCGGAGTAGAGACGCTGCTTCTGCACGTGGAGAGTAGCCAGTGGAGGTGGCTCATCTGTTTGGGATGCCTCCTGGACGCCTCTCTCTAGGGAGTTTTTTCTGGGCACGTCCCACTGGGAGGAGACCAGGGGAAGACCCAGGACACAGAGGGACTTTGTCTCTCAGCTGGGACTGCCTCAGGATTCCCCCAGATGACCTGCAGAAGGTGTGTGAGGACAGGGAAGTTAGAGCGTCTTAGACTGTGACCTGGCAATGGATAAAGTGCAAGAAAATGGATGGATGACTAACACAGAGACAGATCATGGGACAATAACCTTGAGAAAGACTAGAATTTTTGAACAGGTCCATCGTCCTCTGTGTTAAAATCTACAGTTTGTGTAGTTTGTGTTGTTTGTGTAGTTTGTGTTGTTTGTGTAGTTTGAGTTGTGATGTAAAGAGAGGCAAGACTCAGTGAAACGAGATGGATTTGTCTTTGTGTTTAACGATGGCTGTGACGCATAAGCAGCTTTTATGAAAGTGAGGTTTAAAAGTTATTACTGCAGGTTGTAGAGTTTTACAGAGCGCCGAGGTCGTCATTAACTTTGATGGACGAGCGTTAAGGCAAATTATGTTAGAGATGATATTTGCACAAGAAGATTCTCTGCACAGGTTTGGACTGAGGTGGGATTATTCAATGAGTTTTGTTTATGAGAGAAAGGACCGGCGTAAAAGTGATGTAATATGCAGTTTAATGACGTTGTTCCAGGGAAAGAAATGTGTATAATAGGCTTTCTCCCTGTGTGTAGTTGATGTGGGAGGACTGGGGAAAGGTTGGGGTGTTGTTTGGACCTGTGTCGGCTGTTTCTGCCACGAGGGAAGACAAGAGGGTGTCAAAACGAAAGCTCTACGCAAACTTATAACTTAAAAAACACGTTTTCTAAAGTCAAAGCGCAGAGCACCCAGGACCAGAGAGAGAGAGCAGAGAGGTCAAAAAGAGAGACCATGGAGAGACCAGAGAGAGAGAGCAAAGAGAGATCACAGAGAGGTCACAGAGAGAGACCAGAGAGAGAAAGGAGACCAGAGAATATGGTCTCTTGGTGCGCTCTCTCTCTTTGTGAGAAAGCGCTCAAAGAACGTCCGTATATGCTCAGCGCCTCACACTTCCTGCCCTCGGAGTCTTCACAGCCTCAGCTGCGGCGGTGCGACCCCAGCAGCGATTGGGGACATGACCCCAGCTCCAGTCACAGAGAGACACCATCCATTCACCACAGGCAGATACAGTCCTGCAGATACACGGATAACAGGAGATGGAGCTCTGTACATGTACAGTCAGGACCAGAGCAGAGGAAGCCCAATCATCAGGGACTAGCAGCAGAAGCAGAGAGGATTAAAGACATGGAGAACCAGGAAGTATGTGACCCATGTTAGCGTGTCTGTTTGTGCCTTAAATCAGGGATATTGTACTGTCAAGATATTTAGCAATACCATATCAGTGCACCTACACTACCGTTCAAAAGTTTGGGGTCACCCAAGTGTTTTCCATGAAAAGTCACATTTATTCACCACCATACGTTGAGAAATGAATAGAAAATAGAGTCAAGACATTGACAAGGTTAGAAATAATGATTTGTATTTGAAATGAGATGTTTTACGTCCAACTTTGCTTTTGTCAAAGAATCCTCCATTTGCAGCAATTACAACATTGCACCAAAAACCAGACATTTGCAGCTTGAATAGTCATTTACCACATAAGCAATGTATAGAGTGTATTTCTTTACAGTTAGGACTAGTTTAAAGTTATCTACAGTGCTTTTCCTTCAAGAATAAGGACATTTCAATTTGACCCCAAACTTTTGAACGGTAGTGTATATAAAACTTAAATTATATCTACATGTATTCAAGAGGAGGCCATGTTTGGTTGTGACTCTGCATGGGCACCAGTAGGGACCCCGTCAGTAACTATTTGAAGCATTTGTGTGTTTTGAGTCAAGACCGAGACCCCCTCTGTCCAGATTAGACAGAGGGGGTGTGCAAACGGTACATCCAGGACTGAGAATCTAGATCCAGGTCTAGGGCTGTAGACCCAGGACTGAGGCTGTAGATCCAGGACTGAGGCTGTAGATCCAGGACTGAGGCTGTAGATCCAGGACTGAGGCTGTAGATCCAGGTCTAAGCCTATTGACAGGACCCTTCTAACAAATCAAAAAGTACCAAACTTACATCATTACTTTTCTAAACCTCCATCCACCGCATCTGCATCTCTCCAATCATTCCCTAAGACATTTTTCAACCCAGTTTTTTTCATCCCCTTCCATCAAAAACCCTCCTCTCCCACAGTTTGGCACCGGAGCCCATCAACACATCGTAAACACATCCCCTCCGTGGCCGTGGACTGTGTGATTTGGCATAAGTGATGTAGCTTCCGGACAGACGGTGCGGCCGGTCGTTGGAAAGTTTTACGCGCGCCTCATTGTCCATACACGGCTTTTATTGGTGTGACTAAACTCCAGATGCTAAACGAGCGCATTAATAGACATGATCGCGGCAAAACATTTGGGGAAAACAGATGGAGCAGGCGTTTTTTCAAAGACAGAGCCGCGAGCCGCAGAGTCTGAAGGATGAGCGGCGATCAGCAGAAGCAGAGGATGATGGATCGCGAACGTAGCCATTTGTAAAGAAAGTGTCTGGGTTTGAGTAAAGGAGACATATGCTGTTCTCGCCGTGTGAAATCTAGTTAGAATCTCACACCTGTAGAGAGAGAAGTCTTCACATTGAGCTAGCACAGTTTATACTCAGGGAAAGTCAAAGTGATAAATGAAACAATAAATAATCACAGGGCATTACAAGTTGAATGTACAGCTCCGGTCTCTCTCTTTCTGGTTACTCTCTGGTCATTGTCTTTGGTCTTTCTCTCTCTCTCTGTGGTTTCTCGCTCTAGTCTCTCTTGCCTCTTCCTCTCTCTCTAGTCTCCCTCTCTGGTCTCTCTCTCTGGCCTTTCTGTTTCTGGTCTGTCTAGTCACTCGCTGGTCTCTCTCTTGCTTTCTCTCTCTATGATTTCTTTCTCTCTCTGGCCTTTCTGTCTCTGGTCTGTAGTCACTTGCTGGTCTCTCTCTCTCTCTCTCTGGCCTTTCTGTCTCTGGTCTGTAGTCACTCGCTGGTCTCTCTCTCTCTCTCTCTGGCCTTTCTGTCTCTGGTCTGTCTAGTGTAGTCACTCGCTAGGCTGAGGCTGGTTTGAACAGAAGCTAGCTGGAGGTAACTTCCATTTCACTGTGGACATTTCCTCCACAGTGTTTTCTTCCTGCTGTAATAGATATGTTATGAAGGTATCTGATTGGTTACTCCTTATAAGGCTCCTATCTGGATTTACAAAGATAATATTGCAACTTACACACCAGGGTCACAGAGAGCACTAAACCAAGATTCAATCCAAATTAGTGAGTGCCAAACAAACGGTTGCTGAGCTCAAGGAGTTTATTTTTATACAGAAGTCAAAAGGAGCCCGAGCGATTTGGAGAAAAACTTAATCTGTGAGAACTTCCCTATAGAGCTAGCAGGTTAGCATTGATCATCTATATACAGGCTCTGGTTAATGGTTAGCGAAACTTGTAGCGATGCAAGGACCTTTAGCAAAACCTCCATTTTCTGAATCCTAATTCTATAACGGACAGACTTCTCGGCGAACACTCCCTGTGCTCCTCGCTGCAACTTGTTTTTCCTCGAGCCACAATTTAAACTACAATTTCTCGACTCAGACAAAGTGGAGTTGGCTTCTCCCCGGTCGCATCAGCGTTTACCACATTACAGTCCTTCAAATGGGAAATATCACAGTAATGCACGCTGACATTTAGTACACGGCGCTCGCTCTCGCCTCGGCTTCATTCATCAGAAACACGGCCACCTGCCTTGTTTGTGCAAAGAGGTAATTCGCCTTTCATTTGCAGATTGTTAGGGCTTGCATGTTGATTTCCACGGCTTCTGGAAGTATGAGCACGAGAATATGGAGCCAAAGGGTTCGAGAGGGACGGCGTCTGTTGAGTTTGTGAGACGAGGTTACACACGTGTTTGGGATTGATGAAATGATAGATTTTACCACAGTTTGTGAAACCAAGAATTACTGTAGATCTGGGGTCTCCCCTTATAGCTCGCCACCCTCTTAAAAGTAGCTCCCAAGAGGTCTCAAATAGAATTGATTACTTTATGCGTAAAAATGAAACAACAAATATGCCATAAGAAAGTTTGCTATTTCCTGTTTGATTTTGTAATTTGTTTAAATCCCTGTTGGTTTAGTTGTACTTCCTGTTTCCCGATGACCTGCCCCGCCCTTATGTGTCTCACCCGTGTCTCGTTAGACTTCCTTCACTCCCTGTTCCGTCATTACGTCCTTGTCTGTTTTGCTTCCTGTCGTCAGTTACTTTTTGTGTTATCACTGGATTTTCATTTGTATTTTATTTTATCAAATTCATTATTTTCGCAGTTTTGTGTTATTTTCCTTTTGCCTCTTCGTAAATTTGCTTTGTTTGTGCTGGATATAAAACTAAAGCTGCTTTTTCCCATTCAATTCAAATCAATTTATTTTTGTACAGCCCTAAATCACAACAGTGGTTTTCTCGGGGAACTGTGCAATTTCTTAGTGATGTATTTATTTGTTTACACGGATAGATCTATAGCTTGGCCTTAGCCATCCGTAAACTCAGGTTAATTATCATTTCCCTGCAATTACATCGTTTGAATCCCATCCGACCAATCAGGGAGCGCAGGAGGCGGGTCTTGTAGAGAGGTGTTGGTGACATCAAGAGTTTGCGCTGAATTGGCAGGTTGTAGTTCTGCAATGGCGGAGAATGCGATAGTAAAGTGTTCCGGTCTGGTTCTATCAAGAAATTGAAGCCGAAGTAAGAGGAATGTTTAGCAAATCTCACTGCGGGCAAAGATTGTGGCGTTGCTCCCCACGGGCTCCGTTAGTGGCAAAGGAGATGCTAGGCTAAATGCTATGTTAAATGCTACATGCTAAATGCTAGCAACTCACTCGGGTGCATTACATACGTGACGGCAAACTCAGATCCAATCGTTTCAATCTCCTGTAAACGGAGTCAATGGATTAAAACCAGACCTTAGTACAAAATGTAATTAGTACTATGGTGTGGTAAGACCAGGCTAGTATCTATGTACCGACCTGGATCCCTCGCTCACGCTTCACGATCGCATTCTCATCCATCCAGTCTTTTCGTTCCATTAAGCTAACAACACCTCCTACACCTCCTCACACTGACTCTATGGGCCTCCTCTCTCCTCCTACACCTCCTCACACTGACTCCATGGGCCTCCTCTCTCCTCCTACACCTCCTCACACTGACTCTATGGGCCTCCTCTCTCCTCCTACACCTCCTCACACTGACTCCATGGGCCTCCTCTCTCCTCCTACACCTCCTCACACTGACTCTATGGGCCTCCTCTCTCCTCCTACACCTCCTCACACTGACTCCATGGGCCTCCTCTCTCCTCCTACACCTCCTCACACTGACTCCATGCGCCTCCTCTCTCCTCCTACACCTCCTCACACTGACTCCATGGGCCTCCTCTCTCCTCCTACACCTCCTCACACTGACTCCATGGGCCTCCTCTCTCCTCCTACACCTCCTCACACTGACTCCATGGGCCTCCTCTCTCCTCCTACACCTCCTCACACTGACTCCATGCGCCTCCTCTCTCCTCCTACACCTCCTCACACTGACTCCATGGGCCTCCTCTCTCCTCCTACACCTCCTCACACTGACTCCATGGGCCTCCTCTCTCCTCCTACACCTCCTCACACTGACTCCATGGGCCTCCTCTCTCCTCCTACACCTCCTCACACTGACTCCATGGGCCTCCTCTCTCCTCCTACACCTCCTCACACTGACTCCATGCGCCTCCTCTCTCCTCCTACACCTCCTCACACTGACTCCATGGGCCTCCTCTCTCCTCCTACACCTCCTCACACTGACTCCATGGGCCTCCTCTCTCCTCCTACACCTCCTCACACTGACTCCATGGGCCTCCTCTCTCCTCCTACACCTCCTCACACTGACTCCATGGGCCTCCTCTCTCCTCCTACACCTCCTCACACTGACTCCATGCGCCTCCTCTCTCCTCCTACACCTCCTCACACTGACTCCATGGGCCTCCTCTCTCCTCCTACACCTCCTCACACTGACTCTATGGGCCTCCTCTCTCCTCCTACACCTCCTCACACTGACTCTATGGGCCTCCTCTCTCCTCCTACACCTCCTCACACTGACTCCATGGGCCTCCTCTCTCCTCCTACACCTCCTCACACTGACTCTATGGGCCTCCTCTCTCCTCCTACACCTCCTCACACTGACTCCATGGGCCTCCTCTCTCCTCCTACACCTCCTCACACTGACTCTATGGGCCTCCTCTCTCCTCCTACACCTCCTCACACTGACTCCATGTGCCTCCTCTCTCCTCCTGCGCCTCCACGCCTCGCCTCCTTCTCCTCGCCGCCCACTCAGCTCCAGCCGCTCTTTTAATCCCACATTCCAAAGGTCATCGCACTGTTCTCCGTCCGCTCCTTAATTGATTCTTTAGATGTAAGTTGGAATCACCGGGATGGTTCTAACGTGTGGGTTTTGTGTGTGTGTGTGTGTGTGTGTGTGTGTGTGTGTGGGTTTTTGTGTGTGTGTGGGTTTGTGTGTGCATGTGTTTGTGTGTGCATGTGTGTGTGTGTGTGTGTGTGGGTTTGTGTGTGTTCGATAAGATAAGATAAGAGGTCGTTCCCACATTGGGGAAATTTCGATGTTGCATCGCACGTACAGGACAGTAGTAAGAACACACAGGGGGCACACACAAAATACAAAAAAAGTAATAGCTATGTTTCTTAACTAGCTTAACTAGCTGCAGATGCTGAAAATGGTTCAAAACCAGTCAAAAAATAATATATACTGTATATGTAGTAGTGCAGAGTTATGTACTGTACATATAGGGCAGGAAGTAGATAAAGTAAAGTGACATTGTTCAGTGGATATTCTGAAGGAGCAGTATTGCACATGATTTAAGAATGTACTTATTTTCAGATGAATGAAATTTACAGGCTGAGCAGTTCTTATTGTACAGTCTGACAGCAGTAGGAAGGAGAGACCTACGGAACCTCTCCTTCACACAGCGAGGGTGAATTAGTCTGTCACTGAAGCTGCTCTCCAGAGCAGAGAGAGTGTCCTGCAGGGGGTAACAGTCATGGTCCAGCATAGATGTTAGTTTGTCCAGGACCCTCCTGTCCCCCACCTGCTGCACTGTGTCCAGGGAACAGCCAAAGGACTGAGCTGGACTTCCTGATGACCTTGTCCAGCTTCTTCCTGTCCCTCTCTGTGATGCTGCTGCTCCAGCAGACCACACCGTACAAGATGGCTGATGCCACCACAGAGTCATAGAAGGTCTTCAGGAGTGGCCCCTGCACTCCAAAAGACCTGAGCCTCCTCATCAGGTAAAGCCGGCTCTGGCCCTTCTCGAAGAGGGCGTCTGTGTTATGAGTCCAGTCCAGTTTGTGGTTCAGATGAACACCCAGGTACTTGTAAGAGTCCACTCTCTCAATGTCCTTTCCCTGGAATCTGGATGTTCACTGGGGCTGGAGCGGCAGAGTGAAGTCTGCGGAAATCCACCACCATCTCCTTGGTCGTCCCCGCGTTGATGAGGAGGTGGTTCCGCTGACACCAGTCCACAAAGTAATGTATAACTCCTCTGTACTCTGTGTCATCGTCCTCGGAGCTGAGTCCGATGATGGCAGAGTTGTCGGAGAACTTCTGGAGGACACAACCGTCCGTGTTGTGTCTGAAGCATAGACTGTATATATTAACGGACAGAGTCACGCCGTTCTAACTAATGGGCCAAAAAATGTGCTCTACTGGAGCTATCCCAAATGGTCACGAGTGGTCCCGCCCACAAGAAAATTGTGAAAAAAAATGCATGCGCAGCTCCATTCATTTGAACGAGAGACTTCAAAAATTAACAGCGAGTAAACTAGACTGGTCCAAAAAAATCCACCCCCCTCAGCATTGACACACATGTGGAACGGAGCTTTGGGCCAAGAGACAACTTTTGGTCCATCCTGTAAGAAAAGATAAGATAAGATGAGATAAGAGTTCCTTTATTCATCCCACAGTGGGGAAATTTCGTTGTTGCAGCGCACATAAAGGACAGTAGTAAGAGCACACAGGGATCACAAAATATATACAAAATTAGCAGTAGCTATGTTTCTTAACTAGCATAACTGGCTGTAGATGCTGGAAATGCTTCAATACCAGTCAACAAATATAATGTAGTAGTGCAGTTATATACTGTACAGTTAAATAGTGCAGGATAATAAGTAGATGAGGTAAAGTGACATTGTTCAGTGACATTCTGAAGTTGCTGTATTGCACATTGCAAAGGGTGTGAAGACGTTTTTGAGACGTCTGCCGATGCTATATGTTAGCATTGGCTAATTCTTCTTCTGGGTCCACCCCCATCGGCCCGGGGTGGTATTGCAAGCATGTCAGCGCACGTCATTTTGGCCACTTTTGAGCTGGGACCCTCCTCCACTGGTCTGAAGTCCGCAGTGTAGAGGGTGAAGAGGAACGGCGCGAGGACTGTACCCTGGGGGGCCCCCACACTGCAGGTCAGGACTTCAGACACAAAGTCCCTGGTTCTCACAAACCGGGGTCTGTCTGTGAGGTAGTCCAGGTCCGGAGATCTCACCTGCTTTTTACATTCCCTGAGAATCCGCAAGAACTCATTCTACACGCAGTGGGACAGCAGGAGAAAAATACATCCATAAGTTAAATAATAAACAATAATAATAATAAAAATAATACAAACACAGATACAAATATAAGCTTTCCACAAAAACACACTGGCAACTTTAAAATAAAAGTGTGACCAAAAGTCTAGGTAATCCTGGTCCTGTGCCGTAGACCTGGTCCTGGTTAAACTGGTGGTTTTCTACATGAGCTCTTGAACACTTTTGAGCTCTTGCACTTTTTTCACCGGGGCCTGGCTTTAAACAAACATGTATCTTGATTATTCTTTATTTTTCATCTTTTTCTACGATTTTCTTCTGGTATTGACTCATGTACTGTATGTCACTCATATGGCTCTTCTGGAGTTTCTGGGCTCCACTTTTTGTCATTTTCTTAAAAAAATACAAAAAAATGAACATGTCTTTGAGTTCTCTGCTTGTGTGTAGACTACATACATATATAAATAAAAAAGTAAAACAGATGTGATTTGATTCCTGTGTCTGTGCTTCTGCAGCGTGGGCTTTCCCTCTCTCTGCCACATCCGATAATTGCCTCGAAGCAAAGAACAATTTTCATATTGATTTGACACAGTTTTTTCCAATAGTGATTCTGCTGCAGCGACACAAAAGCAGACGATAGGTTTGGGAACAGCACAAACGCAGACATGTGTCGCCATTTTCACACGTCCAGAGGAATTCTCCTGCGTCCCAGTTTGGCTCAGTGTTTGTGGGAGAGAGGGAGAGGTCAGAGGGCAACCATGGACCAATGAAAAAGTATTTAAGTGAAGTGAAATTGTCCCTTAAAATAATTTCCAACAAAACTCAACAAATGTAGTAGTTTGTGTTTAGAGGAGAAAAAGCAAAAGAACCAAAGCAGGACTGCAGATCAAAGTGTAGTTTAATGAGACAAAACAAAAGAAGATGTGGGGAAAGACAATGGACGCACAACAAGTGGAAAGGCACAGGGTATAAACACACAACAGGGCGGGGGCAGGCTATCAACTGGAAACACATGAAGTAAAAGAAAAAGAAGCAAAATATATAAAAAAAACCAGGTTAAAGTTGTCAAAAAGTCCACTCAGGAACAGTATGGGATCCTCCACTTCTTCCATTTTGTGTGTGTGTGTGTGTGTGTGTGTGTATGTATGTGTGTATATGTGTGTGTGTGTCTTGGTCTTATCTTGTCTCGTACAATCAATGTTACTGTTTAACTGTCATATTGCCTTAATCTTTTTGTATTGTTGTGTGTCTGTGATTTTTGTGCATGTGTGTGCATGTGTGTGTATGTATGTGTATGTGTCTGTGTTTATCTCTCTCTCTGTTTGTGCGTTTGTGTGTGTATGTGTCTCTCTCTCTGTTAGTGCATGTGTGTGTCTCTCTCTGACTGCTTGCGGGTGTGTGTCTCTGTCTCTCTCTGTTTTTGCGTGTGTGTGTCTTTGTCTCTCTCTGTTTTTGCATGTGTGTGTCTCTGTGTGTGTGTCTCTCTCTCTGTTTCTGCATGTGTTTGTTTCTTTCTGTGTGGGACTCTGTTTGTGTGTGTGTGTCTCTCTCTCTCACTGTTAGCGTGTGTGTCTCTGTCTCTCTGTTTGTGCATGTGTGTGTGTATGCGTGTGTGTGTGTCTCTCTCTGTGTCTGAATTACTGTGAAGACATTGCAATAATACAATCTTTTTAGTCCATCCAACCCCTTTTCAAATTCATATCCAGGTCTGTGTTATTTACTATATGTTATGTTCTATATTCTGTGGATACTTCTCTCTCTTGTGCAGCACGGTGGCTGAGTGGATTGCACTCTCGCTACTCAGCAAGAAGGTCCTGGGTTCGAATCCCGGTTGAAACGGGGCTTTTCTGAGTAGAGTTTGCATGTTCTCCCTGTGTCTGCGCATGTTTCCCCTACCACTAAAAACATGCCCAATAGGTATGAATGGATGGTGTTGATTGGGGGCTGATGTGTTCGGTGACTCGCTTCCGTCATCTCCGTGTGTGGAATGATTGGAAAAATATATATGAATTCTGAACATTGTAAAGTGCTTTGGGTGACCTTGGTCTGTAAAATGCGCTCAATAAATAAAACTTACTTACTTAAACCAAAACCATCTAAACAAACAGCGCGGACTCCTCCCTCCTCCAGGCTCGGCCCTGACCCCGGTCCTTGGATCTGTCTCCAGAGAAACTCCTCATTACTGTGGAAGTCTCCTGCTGCACGTCATGCGGCGACTGCCTCAATTAATAAGTTAATGACATAATTAAACACTTAAGCGAGATCCATGTCAGTGCGCGGATCTCGCTCAAATGAGAAAAGTGACACTGTGGGCCTGTCACGCTTCTCCACCACATAATGAGACTCTGACCTGAACCACCCGCACTTTGGGTTGAAACTAACATCCAGGACTGAGGCTGTAGATCCACGACTGAGGCTGTAGATCCAGGACTGAGGCTGTAGATCCACGACTGAGGCTGTAGATCCAGGACTGAGGCTGTAGATCCACGACTGAGGCTGTAGATCCAGGACTGAGGCTGTAGATCCACGACTGAGGCTGTAGATCCACGACTGAGGCTGTAGATCCAGGACTGAGGCTGTAGATCCAGGACTGAGGCTGTAGATCCAGGACTGAGGCTGTAGATCCACGACTGAGGCTGTAGATCCACGACTGAGGCTGTAGATCCACGACTGAGGCTGTAGATCCAGGACTGAGGCTGTAGATCCAGGACTGAGGCTGTAGATCCACGACTGAGGCTGTAGATTCAGGACTGAGGCTGTAGATCCACGACTTAGACTGTAGATCTGTAGACTGAATCCGGACCAGGGGCGACCAGTAATAAGCCACACATAATCAGGGCAAAGCCGACAGGAGCACAGTGCGTCTTCTTTAAATGTTTTTTTGCTCCAGTGACAGCTTTAATACCTCATCATTTTGCCTCCGGAGGATACAGCTGTCGTGGAATAGCATTAGATAACTTCAACAGCACCTCTATCTGTTTCCTCACACACACACACGCACACACACACACTCGGGGGCCCGTGTCACTTCACTATATCTTTGCTTGTCTCTTTGTTTACTCTCTTTTATGTGTGTGAGCTTGAGACCAGACCTCGCGGCTCATCCATTCAAACTACCCTTGTCTGACAGCTCCCTCTCCTCCCTCTCTCCCTGCGCCTCCCTCTCTGCCTGCGCCTCCCTCTTCTCCCTCTCCTCCCTCTCCTCCCTCTCTCCCTGCGCCTCCCTCTTCTCCCTCTCCTCCCTCTCTCCCTGCGCCTCCCTCTCTGCCTGCGCCTCCCTCTTCTCCCTCTCCTCCCTCTCCTCCCTCTCTCCCTGCGCCTCCCTCTTCTCCCTCTCCTCCCTCTCTCCCTGCGCCTCCCTCTCGCTGCCCGCTCAGATAACCCTCATTCCCACGGCCTGTCGAAAGATGTTTCTCGGGGGCGGCACGGTGGCTGAGTGGATAGCACTCTCGCCTCTCAGCAAGAAGGTCCTGGGTTCGAATCCCGGTTGAACCAGGGCGTTTCTGAGTGGAGTTTGCATGTTCTCCCCGTGTCTGTGTAGGTTTCCTCCGGGTGCTCCGGTTTCCCCTACCACTAAAAATATGTACAATAGGTCTGGCATGTGCCTCCTGTACTGGCGACCCCCACTCCCAAAAATCACAATTGTAAACCGCTTTGAGACTCCGATGAAAAGGTGAAAAGGCGGTATATAAATAAAGATAACTTACTTACTTCTCTCGCAGTTTTAGCCTCAGACAACAACGTGTTTATTAAGGATCCGCAGCGTGTGGCTCTGATCCGAGACTGACAGACTTCATCAGAAGCTACAAGACTCAGGCTGCACCAGGACGGACCAGGACAGACCAGGACGGACCAGGACGCACCAGGACGGACCAGGATGCACCAGGACGCACCAGGACACACCAGGACAGACCAGGACAGACCAGGACACACCAGGACACACCAGGACACACCAGGACAGACCAGGACACACCAGGACACACAAAACAGTGGAGAGAGAAGCAGGAGAGAGTTGGAAAACAAACTCCCATTTCTTCTTTAAGATAATAACCCTCATGTGGTGTTAGTGGGCCTCATGTATGAAACTTGTGTACGGCCAAATCAGGGTGTAAATGATGCGTACGCAAAAAATTTACACTTTTCCGCATTTATCAATCTGAACGTGAGCGTACGGTACGCACAGAATTTACACCAAGTCAATAGGTGGTGTAAATGTATACGCTCATTTCACCCTTAGTCAAAAAACGGCAAAACACGCATGAAATTCAACATTTGGACAACAATAAACATGTTTCCACTCTGGCAACATTATAAGCTGCGTTTTCATGGAGCATAATGTTTTGGAATTTGAATTTGCGCATCAGAAAAAGTCTAACTCTCTAGAAACACGTAAACTTTGAATAAATCACAGATCATGCTTCAATGATTTTAAATCTGACTTCTGTATGTATTATTTTAATCTGTATGTTTTTAAAATATGAAATATGAAATATGAATATGAAAGGCTCTATACAAATACACTTTACGCGACAGGGATGTGTGACCCATCTGTTGCTGTGGCAGGCTCTGCGCTGCGTAATTACGCACGGCTATTTGTATTCCTCACATCTGGTAAAGCAATGTATGTTTTCATTAGATTTGTGTAAGCCTCACACAGACACACACCCCATTAACGCATGGACCGATGGACTATGGTATTGCTCACTCCAAATGTCTCACTGCCCTGTCCACCCGCTGCGCACTCTTGGGAGTGCATCCACAGCAGGTGCCATGAGAGGTCGCGCCACATAACTCCTCAAATGCTGTCATTCAGAAGTCTTGGCTCCAGAGTTTCTCTGTAAAATCTGGACCGCAAACGCTCTCGCAAGTGTACATCGCTTCAGTGCATTCACAAGACGCTGCAGACGCTTCATTGATGAGAGCCACGCTGCACAATATGAATTCATTCATTCATTCTTTATTTATTCACTTCTATCAAAACATTTCTGCAAATTGTTCAAAACGCAGCTGAATAGCGTATATATTTTTTTACATATGCATGAACAACCTGTGGCAGACCCTGCGCCGTACACGTAATTACGCATATGTTTTGCCTCATTCACCTCTGGCAAAGCAATGTGGGTTTTCCTTAGTTTTGTGCATAAAGCCCCATAAATGCACTTGATCTTGCTCAAAACTGTCTCAGCCACTGCCCTTTACTCCGCAGAGCAGAGATAGGATGCGACGCGCACTAGCAGTATAGTTCATTAATTCAGGTCATTTATTATTTATTTATTTACTTCTAAATTTCAGGAGAGATGAGTGCTGCAGTGGGTCAAGACACTAGGGAAAAAAGTGTATATATAATATAGCGTATATATATATATATTTTTAAACGTGAATAAACTCAAAAGTGCGTGCTTTTTGCGGCTTAGCCGACTTCCTGTTGACCTGTCGCAAAAACAGGGCGTGGAACAGGCAGTTTCTGAATATCTCTAGGCGTGACTTTCATAAGTCAGATCTGTGCGTATCTCACACGTTCATAAATGCCACGTCAGATCTTGCGTATCTGGGATCTACACCAAAAATGTACACCTTTTTCTGCGCAATTTTCATACAGGAGGCCCAGTGTCTCCATCGACCCGTTTCATGGTTATAATATGGAATAACTTCCATGTAGTGGATCTTATGAGAACGAGGCCTTATGATTTCCTCCACAACACATATACAAACACAACAAAACTGTGTTTTATGATTTTGACATTTCTGAAAGTATCGGCAGAAAAAAGTTACGACTGTGGTGTTAGGGTCATTTTTGACCCGGCAATATAAAACTACACTATATACAGGTAAAAGTATACATTATCTGATCCCATCTCCTTCTTCCAAGAGAGCAAATATTTTCTCACATTAAAAAGTATTTGACCCCCCACCCCCTCCACAGGAATAAACATTTTCTCGCACTAGAGTACAGGTGTACCTCACAAAACCCACCTCCACCCTTTTTCTCAACAAGAACACATCTTTTTTCACTGTAAAGTATGTGACCCACCCCCACGCGTGTGAAAACTCACACATTAAAATTTTACATATTGTGAACAAACAAATTAAATGTTATTTACAAATAAACTTAGACACACGTTCACAGACAACCCCTTGTGTTGTCTCTGGTCGCTTTCTCTTGAGAGACTAGAGAGAGCGACCCGAAAGAAACCAGAGAGAGACCAGAGAGAGTTCAAAGAGAGGCCAGAGGTAGAGACCAGAGAGAGACCAGAGAGAGACCAGGGAGACCAGAGACAGGGACCAGAGAGAGAGGCCATCTTTAGATGGTGAAAACTGTTGATTTTTAGATCCAGGACTCATGGTCTGGATCACTTATAGGGCACCTGAAAATGGGCTTTAATTGTTGTAATATCATATTCTGCCATTGGCCAATCAATAAACCAGGTTGGACTGATCTGCACCTATAGGAGAAGGGATGTGTTACAGTATAATGTCAGACACACACACAGGACACACACACACACACACTCTCACAAACACACACAACACCCATGCAGCCACATACACTGAAACACACACACACACACACTCACAAACACACACGACACCCATGCAGCCACATACACTGAAACACACACATACACACACAGTCCCAGGCCGCAGACTCTCTGGTCCACATTGATATTCTGTCGTGGTGAGTGTGGCGGAGAGAGCGCTCATGCATACACACAATGGATCCGTGTCCGCGATCGATGCGCTTGTGCTGAGCATCTGAAAAAGAGCCACACACCCACCGGCGGACGCACAATCGCACACTAACTCAGCCTTTCTGTACGCACACAAACAACCAGAGCTGCTCACAAAGGCAGGAGAGAGAAAAGAACTGGTGTTGCAACAAAAACATTTAAATCTAGGGAAAAACAGGCCATTTTGAGTCTTGGCAACATTAGAGCAAAGAGAGAGAGACGACACGGCAATCCAAGAGGACGACACACACACACACACAGACTGCCATGCTCTGACCGGATGCCCGAGTGACACAGACGCACACGGGTCAAATACAGAGGACAAACACAACTGTAGCTGGTGTGAGGATCAGAACTGGGGCCGTATTCCTAAAGATTCTTACTGCTAAAAGTTGCTCCTAGTGGCCAAATTTTAAGAATTTTCTTAGAATCTTGACCAACTCTTAGAATTTCCCCTAAAAGTGAGGAGTAGCTCCTAGTTAAGATAAAAGCTATTCCTAAAGAATCCTAGCTCTTAAGAGTGCTCTTAAGGGGAGATCCCTTAAGAGTTGAGAGGAGGACTTTTAGCGACTTAAAAGTTCCCTAAGAGCACAAAATGGTGGACGGTGGAGATAGGAGAAATATTCTATACACTGGATGACAGTGAATCAGTGAAACGCTACAGATTCAAGCAGGAATCATGTTTGTGGTATATTTAAAAGTCAATCATGTGACCAGCTTCTCATTGGCTGGTCAGCAATAACACCTCATCCATTTTACCTTTGTTACACAAAAGTAAAATGGTAAAAGTTGAAAGAGAGGAAAAAGTGGTCCTAAATTGTCACACATTCAGTACGAATGAATGAATACTTTATTTTGAGCCATGGCAAACAAGAAAAAAAAGGACAAAACAAACAAAACAACAACAGAATAGAAGTACAAATATACAGTTGTTTTATTAACAACAATCCAGCTCAAAAAGGAGTGGGAGAGGATAAGACTTTTAAACTCCCTTGTACTTGATTTGTACAGTGTATGTATAATATGTTTATATTAATATTGTTTCCTTAATTCCTTATAAGTCTATACATATCACAGCCTTTACTAATCCTAACGTTATCATTATCATCATTTATCCATATAATATTTATAATAATAATTTTCTTTATCATGTATATTATATATAGAGTAATATTTAAATTATATGTTTATATATATATATATATATATATATATATATATATATATATATAAAATTATAAGTGCTCATGATATATACGTATTATGTGTGATAAATTGGTGCTGAGCAAGCTCTGATGATGGTCCATCCATCCATCCATCCATTTTCTACCCTTTAATCCATTTCTGGGTCAGGGGGGTGGCAGTCAGAGATGCCACCTAAGTCTCATAGCACCAGCCCCTCACTGACCCTCTGCAGGTGGTGAGTCCACAGGAGGACGGCTGCTCTCTGAGTGTGAGCATAGCCTTGATCTTTCAGTGGGGGCTTTGGGCAAAGTGGGGTTAAGTGTCTTGCCCAAGGACACAACGACAGCAGTCATCAGTGGGAGTCGGTGGAGAAGGTGCAGAGGTGGGAATTGAACCCACGACCTTCTGGCCTTAAGGCCAATGCTCTACCAACTGAGCTACTCTCGCCCCACCTCTGATCACCTCTGATGATGGTGTATAAGTCTAACTTTACTATTCACAGTATTTATGTACCATTGATACTCCTCCATATCTGACTTTATAGCTTTTGGATTTCCTCTGTTGTGCTGCTCCATGATTGGCTCCAGCCTGCTGGACTGAAATTGCCCCAGTGTGCCCCTCCTTGATATCCCGCAACCCACCACCAGGGTTCCGACACATAACACACTTTTTTCAGGAAAGTAAACCTCCAGGGGTCCTTTCCATATTTTTACAGAGACTGCATAAGGACCGTTAGAAAAGCATTACCCATTGATTATTAAGCTTGGACCAGTGGGTCCGGTGTTCGGGCCCCACCACGTAAAACCAGTCCCCATGACGTGAGTGGAATCTCAGGTTATGGAACCCACCAGGAGTTGAAAACAAGTGCACACAGACAGACAGACACACACATACACACACACACACAGACACACACACACACACACACACACACACACACACACACACACACACACAGACAATGATATCGAATAAGTTCCAGATAATAAGTTCCAACATTCATTATTATCATATTACAGGAGGATATTACATAATACATGGTTATATTAAAGCTGAGATACTTATCTTTCAAATAACTTTTAATTCACTCTCTGCACCACAGCCTTCTCCTTTAAGGGGAAATAATGAGACCATAATTGATAGAGAGACAAGCGAGAGAGACCAGAGAGAGACCAGGGAGAGAGGGACCAGAGAGAGAACAGAGAGAGACCAGAGAGAGACCAGAGAGGTATCAGTGAGAGAGACCAGACAGAGACCATAAGGAGGCTTGAAAGAGAGACCAGAGAGACACCTGAGAGAGACCAGAGAGAGACCAGAGAGACACCTGAGAAAGACCAGAGAGAGACCAGAAAAAGAACACAGGGAGACAGACAAACAATGTGTAACTTTGTGACAGTTTGTGTTTCATTAGGATTATCAGAGGAATTTGCTCTAAACTCAGACCCTTGACTCTCACGTCGATGTTACAGCTTCTCTCCTCCACGAAGTGAAACTAAAGCCTCTGATGTCACATGAACACAGTTTATTAAGCCCAAAACCATTCTCATGATCATAATTCAACCGCAAAAGCAACACACATAATGCATCATCTTCCTCGTGTTTCGCCCCTCTCCTCCTCCTCCTCCTCCTCCTCCTCTCTACACTGACTAGTTTTGCACTGTTGCTTCTCTCTCTCTCTCCCTCTCTCTCTGTCTTTCTCGCTTACAGATGAGCGGAGAGTCCAAGCGTGTCGAGAGGGAAAGAAATGGCTTTGTTTTATCATTACCGTTCGCCGAGATGTATTGGCAGAGCAGGGCATTTGTCAAAGCAGACGCAGAAGCAGAAGAACAAGGCGTGTGGGTAGAAGATGAACAAACAGGCCACCGTACTTCACTTAGAAAGCATTGGAGTAAACAGCAGACATTAGGGGCAGCGAGGCGAGAGGGAGAGCAGGGTTTACTGTTTGGAGAATCAGCCAAATCAGCAGCAAATGTGGCTTGACAGAGAGAGAGAAGAGAGACATTATCAAAACTAACTGTAAACATGGTCACAGGAGGAGGATGGGTGCCATGAGAGAGATGTGCCAAAGAGAGAGAGACCAGAGAGGCCAGAGAGAGACCAAAAAGAGAGAGAGAGAGAGAGAGACCAGAGAGAGAGAGAGGTCAGAGAGAGAGAGACCAGAGAGAGAGAGAGGTCAGAGAGAGAGAGGCCAGAAAGCGAGAGAGAACAGAGAGACCAGAGAAAGAGACCAGCGAGAGACCCGAGAGAGCAGAGAAAGGGAGACCAGAGAAAGACCAGAGAGAGAGAGACCAAAGAGAGACCAGAGAGAGGCCATAGAAACCCAAGAGAGCAGAGAGAGAGACCAGAGAAAGACCAGAGAGAGAGAGACCAGCGAGAGACGAGAGAGAGGCCATAGAAACCCGAGAGACCAGAGAGAGAGACCAGAGAGAGAGAGACCAGAGAGAAAGAGACCAGAGAGAGACCAGAGAGCAGAGAGCAGTCCCCCTGGTATGAGCCGCCGAGAGCAGGAGATGTTCATATTTATTGACGTGGCTCGGCTGGTGTTAGAACATTAAAACGAGGATCGCAGAGAGAAGAGGCTGCGGTCTTAAGCCCCGGGAGGCCACGGCGACTTATTCAGATGATGCGGCGTGCGATGTTTGTCCTTGAAGAAAAGAGAATTAGTGTCTGAGAAAGTCAAAGGCAAAACCCGACAGAGAGAGAGAGAGGGGGGGGGGGGGAGAGAGAGGGGGGGAGAGGGAGAGGGAGAGACAGAAAGAGACCAGAGAGAGAGTGAAAGCGCCTGGATTTACGGTTATGTTTTTGCATGGCCCGCGAGATACCAGGAGACGGAACAAAATGGGGGCTCGTCTCTCTAGTTCGGGGGGGGGGGGGATGCAAAGCGCGTTGGGAGCCGGAAAAGTGTGTCCAGGGGAGCGAGCGCGCAATCCCCTCTGCGGGAAATGTAGATCAAAAAGGGATTTAAGTAGTCAGGAGTTGTACAGCGAGGTTCAGCCGACCCCCGGGCATGCTGGGAGATGGGGGGGGGGGGGGGGGGGGGGGGGGGTGAGGCAAGGGTGAGGGAGAGGCAGGGAGAGGCAGGGGTGGTCGGTCATGCTACAAATTTCGACGCTGGATGCAGAGGCAGGGGAAAGCAGGGGTGAGGGAGGGATGAGGGAGTGGTGAGGCAGAGGCAGGGGTAAGGGGGAGACAGGGGTGAGGAAGGGGTGAGGGTGAGGAAGGGGTGAGGGTGAGGAAGGGGTGGTTGGTCATGCTCCAAATTTGACACTGGATGCAAAGGTTTTTCAGCCTCAAAACCAGGTCCAAATCGGATCGGAAGACTGTTATTTCTGCTAGGCGTGTGTGTGTGTGTGTGTGTGTGTGTGTGTGTGTGTCTGAGTCTGTGTGTGTTTGTGTGTGTGTATCTGAGTCTGTGTGTGTTTGTGTGTGTGTGTCTGAGTCTGTGTGTGTTTGTGTGTGTGTGTCTGAGTCTGTGTGTGTTTGTGTGTGTGTATCTGAGTCTGTGTGTGTTTGTGTGTGTGTGTCTGAGTCTGTGTGTGTTTGTGTGTGTGTGTCTCAGTCTGTGTGTGTTTGTGTGTGTGTGTCTGAGTCTGTGTGTGTTTGTGTGTGTGTATCTGAGTCTGTGTGTGTGTATCTGAGTCTGTGTGTGTGTGTGTATTTGTGTGTCAGATCATCATTCCAAGCTGCTGTGTCTCTGTCGTCTCAAAGCTGTAGGTCATAATTTAATACGTTTAAATCTGTTTTTTACATTAGGAGAAGCCTAAAAACACGGACGCACACATACAAAAACACACACACCAGCTTTTCTCTGCTTCCATTTGAGAGAGGGATTATTTGCAAATACATAATTTTACTTTATTTAAAGCTTTGTGTTTCTGGGACGGAGGCCAAAAAAGCTAGTTTCAGAACCAAGAATAAAACAAATATTCAACAAAATATTTACAATGAGCACCGCAGACATCAGGGAACAGCTGAATCGAGAAGTAGAAACATTTAAAGGCCCCCTATTTCTCTCTACTGTTTCCCAGTCCGTCCTCAGCACATGTCTGATCATAATCTGAGTGACACACAACTCTACAAACCTGTTCTGGCACAGAGGTGATGTCACCACCATCACACCAGAGAGAGACCAGAGAGAGACCAGAGAGAGACCAGAGAGAAAACAGAGAGACCAGAGAGAGACCAGAGAGAGACCAGAGAGAGACCAGAGAGAGAAGAGAGAGACCAGAGAGAGACTAAAGACCAGACAGGGACCAGAGAGAGACCAGAGAGAGACAAGAGAAAGACCAAAGACCAGACAGGGACCAGAGAGGGACCAGAGAGAGACTAAAGACCAGAGAGGGACCAGAGAGACACCAGAGAGATTAAAGACCGGAGAGAGACACGCTAAATGACTAGGAACCAATTTAATCCGTCTTTAGTTTGGTTTAAGGTTTAAGTTACGTACACCAGCTTTAGATACCTCTGCACTGCAAGCGTACTCCAACTTTATCCACTCCCCCACTGTCCCCCACTCCCCTCCCCCACGTGTCTCACCCTGAGCCCAGATTCATTACACAGAGAGAGAATGAGAGCAGAGAGAGACCAGAGAGAGACTAGAAACCAGAGACCTGAGAGAGAGACCAGAGAGAGACTAGAGACTAGAGACCAGAGACTAGAGGCCAGAGAGACCAGAGAGAGACTAGAAACCAGAGACCTGAGAGAGAGACCAGAGAGAGACTAGAGACTAGAGACCAGAGACTAGAGGCCAGAGAGACCAGAGAGAGACCAGAGAGAGACCAGAGAGAGACTAGAGAGAGACCAGAGAGAGAGACCAGAGAGTTAGAGAGCAGAGAGACACCAGAAATCAGAGGCCAGAAAGACCAGAGAGAGAGAGAGTCCAAAGAGAAAGAGAGAGACACCAGAGACCAGAGGCCAGAAAGACCAGAGAGAGAGAGTCCAAAGAGAATGAGAGAGAGACCAGAGAGAGACTAGACACCAGGGATCAGAGAGAGACCGAAGAGAGGCCATGGACCAGAGACAGAGCAGAGACTATAGACTAGAGACCAAAGAGAGAGGTGAAATGACATGAAACCAATTTGATTTGTCCTTAGTTTGGTTAAATACCTACTGTGTCTCTCCCAGTGGACTACGACTCCACCTAGAGTCCCCATCACCATGATCCAGTCCCCCTCTCTCCCCCACCCTCCCCCGCGCGCCTCACCCTGAGCCCAGATTCATTACAAGCGTGTGTCCGCAGTATTAAGATAGCAGAGCATTAACAAAGTTGTCTGTGTATCTAAATTGAATCTGCCCCTTCCCCGCCCAATCTGGATTATGTTTACCTGAAATATAAGCGGTTTGGAGCCGATAAAAACAGAGGCCCCCCCCGCCTTCCTCCCCCATCCTCCCCCCTCCCTCCACAATCCTAATCCTGAGCTGTAATTTGTTCCTGGATGGATGTAGCCGCGGCGATGGGGACCTTGATTGGGATTTTCTCCGAGGTTTGCCGAGAGAGGATTCAGGTGTTGTCCACTGTGTAAAGTCAATGTTATGATGGTTACAGGATCTGGAGGATGTTTACTTTGGTAATTCATGGTTTAGAACAGGGGTGTCATTCATGCGGCCCGTGGGCCGGATCCGGCCCGCCAAGAGATTTGACACGGCCCGCGGCTCATTTATGTAAAATGATAATAATCATAATCCATCAATCTTCTTCCCCTTAATCCATTTCTGGGTCAGGGGGGCGGCAGTCAGAGCTGCACCCAATTCACTGACCACCAGCCCCTCACTGATCCTCCTGCAGCTGATGAGTCCACAGGAGGATGGCTGCTCTGTCAGTGACTATACAGCCTTGACTTTCCAGCTGGAGCTTCAGGCAATGTCGGGTTAAGTGTCTTGCTCAAGGACATAACGACAACAGACATCAGTGGAAGTCAGTTGAGAAGGTTCCGTGGTGGGCTCGAACTCACAACCTTCTGGCCCAAAGGCCAATGCACTACCAACTGAGTTACTGTCGCCCATAGGTGAGGTGCAGTGTTAAAGTGCTTTACCTACTTTACCATTGTGAGCAAGTTTTCTCTGTATGAGCCTTAGAACAGAGCTAACATACAAATATTAATATAAATATTGTGAAATGCCATTTACAATGTAATATTGTAAATATAGTACATTATTTGCACTATAAAAAACTCAATGTTACATTTAAGTTTGTAACGGATTTACAGTTACTGGGTGAGTATTAAAGGACAGTGTTTTAAAGGAAGTTTCAAATAAATGTGTTTATGTGCACAGAAAGTTGGACTTTGTACCGTTTTTGGGTATTTTTGTAGAGCATCTTCTGGTCCGGCCCAGTTGAGATCCAATTAGGTTGTATTTGGCCCCTGGACCAAAATGAGTTTGACACCCCTGGTTTAGAATGTGGTAAAGCTGATGGACCAAAGTTTAAAAGAGAGAGATCAGAGAGAGACCAAGGAGAGACCAGAGAAAGAGAGACAAGAGAGAAACCAGAGAGAGACCAGATAGAGAGAGGAGAGAGAGAGAGACCGGAGAGAGACAAAGGAGAGACTGGATAGAGGACAAAGAAAAAAATAAAAGAAAAAGACCAGAGAGAGACCAAGGAGAAACCAGAGAGAGACCAGAGAAAGAGACCAGAGACAGACAGAGAGAGAGACCAGAGACTGGAAAGAGGGACCAGAAAGAGAGAGAGAGAGAGAGAGAGAGAGAGAGAGAGAGAGAGAGAGAGAGAGAGAGAGAGAGAGAGAGAGAGAGACCAGAAAGACCAAAAAAGAGACCAGGGATAGACCAGAGAGATACCAGTGAGAAAAACAAGGGAGAGACCACAGGGAGACCACAGAGAGACCACAGGGAGACCAAAGGGAGACCACAGAGAGACCACAGAGAGACCAGAAACAGAGGATCAGCCTCACTCAGCTAATCAGCTCTCAACTCAAAGAGTCAATTAGTAACTCATAGGGCTCTTTCTTCCACAAAAAATAAACAAGTCCGCCCCTGTTAATGCATAAAGGCAACGCCGTCGAAACAAATGCCCATATAAGGAAATTTGCTCCATCTTGCTTTGGTTCAACTCGGCTTCTTCTGCATTAAGACTAACACTACTGTCTGTCTGCTCTTAAAATATGTATACATTGGTCCTAGTTAATGTTTCGACCGAGATGGAAACGTGTTTGAAGTAAATCCAGCAGGGGGCGGTGCAGAGTGAACCAGCAGGGGGCAGTGCAGGGAGGTTTAAACTGCGCTCACTGACGCTTCCTGGGTCCATTTGTCGAACAGGAAATAAACCAATGAAACATGGCGTTTTTAGTACACAGAGATTTATGACAAGGTGCAAATGATCAAAGCAGGAAGTGAGACCGAGGTGGGGTTAAAGCTGATACGTGTAGGCTTTGGACTTTTATCTCGAGAAAAGCTTTGAGAATAGAGGAAGTATTTTAGCAGGCATCGATGTAAGTCTCTGGGAACGAGGAAATTTTTTGATGAAAAATGTTTGTATTGGTCAAAATGATGTATGAGTTTGATATTTGTCACCACTTCCAGATCTTTTGGAGGAAAAAATGAGAGCATATTTAATGGAGATCAGAGAGAGAGAGACCAGAGAGAGTCTGGAGTGAGACCAGAGAGAGTCCTGAGAGAGACCAGGATAGAGACCAGAGGGACCAGAGAGAGACCAAGACCAGACCATCTCCATCTGAAATGTTGTAATCTCTTTCTCTCTCTCTGGTCTTTCTCCCTTCCTCTTCTCGCTCTCTCTCTCACTTCCTCTCTCTTCCTCTCCTTCTCGCTCTCTTTATCTCTCTCTCCCTCTCCCACTCACTCTTTCTCTCTCTCTCTCCCTCTCTCTTCCTCTCCTTCTCGCTCTCTTTCTCTCTCTCTCGCTCTCTTTCTCTCTCTCTCCCTCTCTCTTCCTCTCCCTCTCTTTCTCCCTCTCCCTCTTCTCTCTCTGTTCTCTCCTTCTCTCTCTCAGTTGCATTTCTCAGTTATAATTATCCCGTTACCAAATCTAAATGAGATCAAAGATTTGCCATTAGCGGCTCTCCCAGCTCTGCTCTTGCACAGAGACAGGTTCTCTCTTTCTCTCTGTGGAGATAGAGTCCGAGTCTCGTTCAGTCGATAAAGAGTCTCGTATCAGAATTGGATCTTTGCACCTTTTAGCTGCAGACGTCACCTTTGGGAACACGCAATCGGAAACATGTCCCAGGGTCACACCTCATCTGCTGCTATCACTGTTCACACCAGCCCTACTCTACTCTACT